TATTGTGATGTTGGACCCATGTTGAAGATTGCGGGAGGAGATACACATCTCATTGAAGCCCTTGGATTCCTGGTTGCTGTGGTTGTGGTTGTGTCTTCCCTGGTTTTTACCCTCATTTCTTACCTCTTCATCATCTGCACCATTCTTCAAATGCCTTCAACCTCCAGACAGCAGAGGGCCTTTTCTACATGTGCTTCACATCTGGTTGTGGTCAGCCTTTTGTATGGGTCAGTCTTTTTTGTCTACTTAAGACCGACTATCAAGAACTCTTCTTTTAGTATGACAAAGTCTGTCTCCATATTGTATACTTTCATCATCCCTGTGCTCAATCCTTTCATCTACACCATTAGGAACAATGAAGTGAAAGATTCTGTACGCAAAATGATAGGAAGAAAGGTTCCAGGTCTCCAAAATCTCTAATTATCTCCAACCCTAACCCTTGGTTAAATGAAATGGAAGGTGATTCCACTTTCCAACAGATTTCTTGTATATGAAATGTAAACCTGTAAACTGTCTTTTGACAGTTCTCTATATATGTGTTCCTGCAATTTGGGAAGTACCAGGAGTATCAATCAAGGTTCTTATTTTCACATTGCCTAGTATAGCAAAGAGGTAAGAGTGAATAACATTCAAGAGGGAGTTAACATTGTTTTTTTTATTTGTTTGTTTTATGAAAACTTTGTTCAAAAGCCTGTGTAAAATAAAATGAGGTACTCATGATCAGTTGGGTTTCAGAGCAGGACATAAGATTTAGAGTGTATCAACCATGCTTGTCAGTGTTAAAATTGAGAAGGCATGGTGCAAGTGTCCTAGTTCTCCTTCATCTCTAGCCTCATTCAGTGCTATCAATCATGGTACCCATCTGGACTACAGAAAGGATTGGTATGGATTGGTCATGACATTTCATGACATTTCTCTCTTTTTTCTATGGTTAGTTTCATATGCTGTTTAAAATTTACATGAGTAAATTGGGTGTGGTCATCTTTCAGGTTGGAACAAGTAATATCCAACTACATATTTCAACCTTGGACCAACCAAATGATTTTTTTCAAGATCATGTCCCAAGTGACGTCTGAATGGGGAAGAATAGGCTGAGTTCAGTCGTAGAAAGACCCATTGCCAGAGATAATTGGACTTTATTGTCCCAGATATTTTGTCATCCCAAATGGGATTGCATTTCCATTTCTGGTCCTGATGAACTAGTTGTATTTGCTATTTTGTTTTGAAATGTTTTGAATATTGTGTGCCACCAAGAGTTATTACAGAGTTGGGGAACTTTAGAAACCAAATAAATAAATATATAAGTAAATAAATACTGACTCACTTTTTCTCCATAATGTGTTTTGCTCATTTGCACAATTATGCTCTTTTTATAATTTTAAAAGTATTTTAATTGGAAACACAGCTTGTAATATTTGGTTTTAATTCGGCTTTTATCGGGGTTTATTTTCTGTATTTTTGTATTTTTGTATTTTGTAATTTTTTTGTATTTTGTGTATATTATTTGTTTTTAATATGCTGTGAACCGCCCTGAGTCCTATGGGAGAAGGGCGGTATACAAATTAAAATAATAAATAAATAAAATAAATATAAATTATTTGTCTAAAGTAATGTATTTTTAAACAGAAATGGAACCCTTTGTTGATGCCTATTTGATACCTTGTTTTCTGGATTGGAGAACAGTTTTTCAAATAATGAATTAAAGCTTTCCCAGAATGTAGCCTATGGTCTCTTTGCCTAACATATCCTTATTTAAAGAAATTATCTAAAAGAATGCATATTTATGTACATTATGTTCAGAAAATAGATATATACTTTTATAAAATATATGTTGAGCATCCCTTGCTTTTAATATGAGCAATGAAGAGTGAATAGCTAACTTTTGTTTAATGTATTGGTTCAAAGATACAATATTCAGATGGAGTCTAAATTTATTTCTGAGGGTCCTTGTTGCTCTCTATGCTTGGTTGTTTTCTTGCAGATGTTTCATTATCCAAATTAAGTAACATCATCAGGCTAGTATTTGTTTCTTCCCATTCTTGAGGGCATCACAAATGAAGATTGGGATTGGGGGATTCCATACCAGTTGCATTATTAAGTATCATAAAGAATTGACTTTGTATTGTGATATGTTTCAATAAAGCCTTTTCCTTGGGTTGCTCTACACACCATGGTGTGGTATTGTGGCTAAGGAGTTGGTCAGGGAATGGAGAGGCTCAGAATCAAGTTCTGATTTGTCCTGAGAGTTCACAAGTGACTTTGAGTCAATCACTTCCCATACAGAGAATACATCTTGTGTGGAAATGTTGAAAGTATATCAGTGTGACAGGAAGAAAATCACTCTTAACATTCTTGTGCTTCTATTTCCTAAATAGTGTCATTTACACATAGGAGAACATCTATGCAGAGATTTTCAAATGTTACAAATGCATGGACTTACTTTCTATTTGGAGAAGAAATGAAATCCAGAAAATGGAAAGAATGAATAACAGAAAAGAGTCTCCTAAAGCAGAATCAAATTGGGAACCTTGACCCCTAAAAACCTTGTATACTGAAACATTTTCAAGTCTGTGTATGCTAATATCTTATTGACCAACTGAAGTGACTTACTCTGTCCATTCTAGATCTGACATTTTGTGATCTCCACTCTTAAACAATATTCTAATGCCACACAGAATGATATCATAAAATTCCAAAGTTGGAAGGGGACATTTGGGTCATTGTATTCCACCCCGTTGACTTTGGTACAAGAATCCAAACTTCAATATCCCAAAGAGATATTCAAATTCTGTAATTCTGGGTTAAATTCTGGACAGACTTGAACACTGGGCGCTATCTAACAAAATGAAATTCAATGGTGAAAAAAGTAAGGTTCTACATTTAGGCAAGAAAAACCAAATGTACAGGTATAGTATAGGGGGTACCTTGCTCAATAGTAGTAACTGTGAGAGGGATGTCGGAGTCCTAGTGGACAATCACTTAGATATGAGCCAGCAGTGTGCTGCAGCTGCCAAAAAAGCCAACACAGTGCTGGGCTGCATTAACAGAGGGATAGAATCAAGATCATGTGAAGTATTAATACCACTTTACAATGCCTTAGTAAGGCCACACTTGGAATACTGCATCCAGTTTTGGTCACCATGATGTAAAAAAGATGCTGAGACTCTAGAAAGAGTAAGAGAAGAGCAACAAAGATGATTAGGGGACTGGAGGCTAAAACATATAAGGAACGGTTGCTGGAATTGGGTATGTCTAGTTTAATTAAGAGAAGGACAAGGGGGGACATGATAGCAGTGTTCCAATAACTCAGGGGCTGCCACAAAGAAGAGGGAGTCAAGCTATTCTCCAAAGTGCCTGAAGGCAGGACGAGAAGCAACGGGTGGAAACTGATCAAGGAGAGAAGCAACTTGGAACTAAGGAGAAACTTCCTGACAGTTAGAACAATTAACCAATGGAACAACCTTCCTCCAGAAGTGGTGAATGCTCCAACACTGGAAGTTTTTAAGAAGAGACTGGACAGCCGTTTGTCTGAAATGGTGTAGGGTTCCTGCCTGGGCAGGGGTTGGACTCGATGACCTCCAAGGTCCCTTCCAACTTTATTATTATTATTATTATTATTATTATTATTATTATTATTATTATTATTATTATTATTATTATTATTATTATTATTATTATTATTATTATTATTATTATTATTAT